GATATAATTATCATTTGTCCACTTTTCAAAAGTTTTATTACGGAAAATTAAAAATATTTATTTCAGGTTCGATATGTAATATCCTATCGATTGGCGTATTTGGATTTTAATTTCATCTATAAATGACAAAGTTACAAGCATTCAAAACCTAACACTATTTCACCACCTTTTTTTTTTTTTTTATTTGCACCCCAGTATAGTCGACAAAGACGTAGTTCTATGTCAAAAAAATACACAATCCAAAACGGCCGAACTTTCGTAAAAATGTGAATGATTGACCATACGTTTTATGCATATCGGAGAATGTCAAGTTTTTCCGATTCATTATTTGGCGTGCAACTGCTCATATGAGGTTCATGCTGACGAAAGCATTTCCACTTCCAAAACATGTAATGTCGTAACACCAATAAGCTCTGCAACGAAAAAAAAAAAAATCCGAAAGCAAGACAAAACCAGACAGCAACAATTAAAACCTGGTAAGTCATAACGTGGCAACCGATTGTTAGCATCGGATTTTACTGGCATTTACATTAACGAGTTGCTCGGTAAGACGAAACACGTTGTCCGAAAACCATGTTCGAGCCTTGTTTGTTATTAAGCAGCTTAAGTGCAAATAAATGCCGGCCCTTCGTTACCGTTGTCGTTCCGATTGTTGTTCGCCCTCACACCGGAGGGCTTTCAAGCCAATTTCACATTCAACAATCCCCACCTAGAACATGGTACCAAGGGAGCTTAGTTAGCGTTCTGTTACACTGACTGTTACAAGCCCCAACAGGCGAGAGGCTATTGGGCGACAGTACCTATACTTTCTGTGCACAGCTCCAACACTCGAAATACGAATCCAATTGCCAATAAGTGAATGTTGTTGCTCAATTTATTCGGATTGGTAGACGAGGCACTCCCATGGAGCGAAATGAAATCTGCATTCGTCCTCAGACTGCTGCCAAATCAAGTACGAATTTGGTGTCAGGAAATTGGCTTTGTCTATATCAGCATCAGGAGCGAAAAAAGCAAATATTCTTCAATTGCAGCTGCTGTTGCTTCATTGATGATAATGGACCCAAGAATGGTGCTGGTTGTATGTTTTGAAGAACTCCAGCAAAACCGAAAGAAACTTGGAGCCTGTGTGCAGCTGCACAGTGCAAAACACAACAGCACTTGCCATTGTGCGGCGACATTGCCATGAGCTGCTGCTGTTGCCTTGATGAGCTCTCGTGTCCCGTGTGTTCGGTTGGGATGGGCGGAGGTCGGTATTGTCGTCACGTGAATACAGGGATTTTCCCCTCGAGTGTATGAGGAGAGGCAAGATCATCTCATTTGCGTTGCATTATCCTGCCATAATCCGGCTGATGCTTGAGGACAAACAGCTTCATTATGGCGATGAGCTTGAATGGGTAAGATTTCGTTTTGATTAGCGTATGCTGTTGATTTCAGGGGTTTTTTATGTGATGGGAGTGAATATTTTGCAAATTTAAGAAGAAAATAGAATGGTACTTGCATTCACATCCCATCGAAGCACTTGACTGCCCTTTTCCCAACTAATTACTAGCATCGTTATCATAATTCCGAATCTTAGCCCGGCGGAACGCGCATAACGACTCCAATCAGTTCAGTAAGACATCTCAATCGATTATCGATCGGTAGTTAAACCAATTTACGTTTTCCGCTAAATGGCCGATCGCCATTATGCATTCCAAAATGGCATGCAACTTTCTATCATTCCACACAATCTGAAAGCATACATATGTCCTTAGCGCTCACGGTTGGCTTAACGTCTCGAGTGAGGTCCTTGGAAGGTGCAGTCCAGTGCAAAGGCTCATCATTATGTGGAGGGGGGTGTCAAACTACAGCAGGAGGAGTTCGTTCCGCGAGTTCTAACGTTGCCACGGACGAGACGACAAATTAGCATATTTAGTCATTTGACTCACACTGCCTCCCTCATGCAAGTGCAAGCATATAGATGCATTTCTGTCGCTCATGGCAAGTCCGTCCCATGGCACAAATCAACAAGCCGAGAAAAACGCATTTTATGTTTGCATCGTACCATTGCTTCTTATGTGATGGGACAACTCAGATATGACAAAAACGCAAATGGGACCAACTTGCGAAGAGCGGCAGATTTGTCCTAGACTGATACAGGGATAGATACACACAATTTATGCAGCGGAACAACAAAGGGACGACACGCGAGACGTGCAAGTTGTTGTTTATTATTGTCACTTTGGAGTCGGAGTGACATGCGGGTCAGGCTGGTCTGGCAGGAGGAGGTGGAAGACAGAAACATGAAACAGTCATGATGTCTAACCGTAATAGTTAGTGCTGGTGCAGGCGGTAGTTCAAGTTTAATGGTTTTATGAAAATGTTTGCTTATTTAACGATGACAGTCGGGAGAGGTGACTGTTTATGTTTTCGGTTATTTGAGTGTGTGAGTTTGTGTTTGTGTGTCTTATTTGAGGTTATTATTTAATAGAATGTTAAGTGCTTGCATTTTGGAATGCGTTGTTGGGCCTTCGGGTGTTAGAGGTGAAGGTTTATCATCGAAGATGTTTAATTAATTTCAGAGCAGTTAAGTGAGCTCAAGAGAAGTCTGATATTAAAAATAAATTTTATCCAATGGACATGAGATAAATTCGGCCATATTTAGAGAAGTTTAAGCAAATTCATTGCACAGTGGGCCAGGAATTAAATCAAGCATGTCAAAATTAATAACGCTAGGGTTATTTGCCTTTTTATTGAGGAATGGAAGACAATGTTTCAGTTTCAATGGTTTATTTCGGAGCCACTGGTGGCTTCAAGGGGGGGGGCATGGGAGGCACGGGCCCCTCCCCTTTTATGGTCAGTTAAGACACTGTCACAAGAATGGCAAACACCTTTTGTTTATTTTGTTATTATGCTAAATTGATTATGATTATATATTACGGACAATCCAATATCGATAAACTACCACACAATGATAAAGGAAACATTCAATAGAGAGCTGGACCGTCGGTTTAACCTCACATTTTTTTTGACATCTGGCAGAGGTTTGTTTACATGGACTTAGAAAAAATTTAAAAAAAAATATTAAATGTTTTTTTTTTAAGATTTTTTTGAGTGGTATATTTTTTAAAGGAACATAGTAGGATATCATTTGTTTTAGTTCTTTATATTTTAAAGCTAAAATCCACTTGAATTGCCTAAAAAGCATAGGTAAACAAACCACCACTGGATGTCAAACTGATGAATGCGGGTTCATCGCGTTCATTCGTGACGTCAGCGTGCAGCATCCTATTGTGTTTATTCCACTTCTCGTGCGAATCGAGATGACCATTCTAGTTTCCTTCTCGCGTGACAGTTCTCACTCTATTCCGAATGTCGACTCGCACGACGCGAGATGTTCATTTTGTATCGAGAGGAAGGATGAATCGACAGCGAAGTGCTGTTCATTTCTAGAAACGTCAAACTGTAAAAGTTCATCACTCAAGCTGTGATAAGGGCGTATGCAGTATTTTCTAACAAAAGAGTAATTTGATTCTGGTATAAATATCTGTTTTCTTCAATAAATAAAATCATAGATGAGGATAAAAACAATAGAGCACACGTTTTTCTATCATTTAGGAATTATAACTTAAGGTTCCAAGTAACTTTCTGTGCCATTTCGATAGCATGTAATTTGGTCCTTGTTTGAGAGCGGTGGAGATTTGTTTTGGTTATTTCGAAGATCGTTTTTTTTTGTGAATCAACCAATCGTGGTCAAACCCGGTGTTTAGTGGAATTTTTTTTTTCTAATAGTTGTGAGTTTTCCTTTTTTTCACAATGAGTTTTTAAGAGTTTTGGTTAAATTCCTTTAAATCTTAACAATAGAAATAAATTCTTCCTATTAATGATATTAGATGCGTCGACGTCAGGCAGCCAATTATTGATGGAACATCAACATATTTTTATAATAATGATTTACTTTTTTCAGCCTATGTCCTGATTATTCACGATTATCTCAACTTACCTGAAACTGGCACCTGGAGTCTAAGAACGACTGAACTTGCTCATTTTATTTATTTTATGGATTCGATTGTGATATTTAGTGTGAATTCTACTCCAACAGTTTCAGGTAGATTGAGGCGTCCTTCTCAACAATCCATCATGTGGAAAGGCTAACAAGTATTGCGAATGTTGTTATTTGATTTGTTGGATCGTATCGTTGGAAGGATAATCTCATTTTCCAGTGAATTTCAGATAAGTGTGGGTTCACAGGTTCACCAACATCATGTCCAGTTATTTAATAATTTTAGCTTTGCAGTGTTTCCAGTATATAAAATCATTGTTGATATATTCAATACCCTAATAAACATGATGGCCTGAGTCCAAATAACCATGATTTTTCATAATTGATTAATTACTTTCATACTATATTTTCAAAACATTACATGACACATGAATAAAAGTATGTGTATAAGTCCCTGTTGGCGCTTACCACGAAATTGTAGTCCTACGTTGTGTTTTACGTGTGAACTTGGTGGTGGGCAGCAACGGAAAAACAGCCACCACTGACAACAGATGACACCGGCAGGAAGCAGCACAGCAGATTTGCAGGTAAGTTTTTCTCACTTCACTTTCTTCCTTTCCTAACTAACTAACTCACAGTAAGCGGTAAGTAGGAACAAACTTTATTTGAGAATAACTTTCACACTTTACAATTTTCACTTTATTTAACTTCACTGCTCGGGTGTTCAACTTAATCTAATCGTCGGTTCGGTTACAATATTCGTTTTTGGCTCACAAACAATCAGCTGTGCAACCGCGGTTGCCAGAACGGCTAGAAAAACTAGTCTAATTTGGCGTCTGCTACCACCAGCTGATCGCGGGGGGAAGGAAATCGCATTCTGTGTGGCCAGAACCAACATACCCGCCGCCTTGATTACCTATCAACAAAGAAACGTCAATGCAAACAAAAACAAAACGAATGATTAACATAATCTACAGGTAAGTAATTTTCTCCTAACTATTTGGTTTTTCTTATATTTCTAGGTGAGAATTCCTCCTGATGAGCTGGAATGCGGATCAGCGGTGGGATCATCGCGTCGTTCTTCTTCGGGAATCGGTTCTGAATGCGGCAGCAGACAAATTTTGGTGATTGGCCTCTTGATGATGCCCTTCGCAGTTCGTAGGCTAACAACTCGATTTAATTTATCGCTTCCAGGGTGCACCTCCGTAATGCGGGCAAGTGGCCAACGGGTCGTCGGCAACATTTCATCGATTAAGATGACCATTCGTCCGGGTTGAATATCGTCGTTTCGTGCAGCAAGCTTGGTGTCCTTCAGTAACTCCTGCAGGTACTCCAACCGCCAGTGACTCCAAAATTTCTGGATGTGTTGCTGGAGCTTTTGGAGGTAATCGAGGGTGCCCACCGATGTGTGCTGGAGGTCTGGGTCGGGCAGGGCTTGAAGAGACGATCCGATGAGGAAATGTGCCGGCGTCAGTGCAGCAAGATCGTTTGGATCGTCGGACATCGGGAGCAGAGGACGAGAGTTCATCACGGCTTCGATTTGATGTAGGATTGTGTAGTAAGCTTCGAAAGTGAGACGTGTACTTCCTAATTGACGAAATAAATGCCGCTTGGCAGTCTTGACCGCTGCTTCCCATAGGCCACCGAAGTGTGGTGCCTTGGGAGGAGTCAAGTGCCACATTATCCCTTGCTCGGAGCAAGCTGAAGCGATTATGCTCTGCTCGTTGTTGCTCTTAAATCTGACGAATAGCTCGGCCAGTTCGCGCTTTGCTCCTTCGAAATTTTTCCCATTATCGGAATATAGGTGGGTTGGGACTCCCCGCCTTGAGGTGAACCGTCGCAAAGCCGCTAGAAATCCTTGGGTGGAAAGGTCCCCAACCAATTCCAAATGAACGGCCTTTGTCACGAAGCATACAAATACGCACAGGTAAGCTTTTGCGGGCGCGGCGCGCTTGTGAATAGGCTTTATGTACAACGGACCAGCATAATCCACGCCTGTGTTGGAGAACGGACGACTTGGAATGATCCTCGAAGCAGGTAGCTGACCAATTTGCTGCTGTTCGGGTATCGGATGCTGCCGGGAGCAACGGAAGCAGTTTCGTACGATGCCTTTGACCAACTGACGACCATTCAGGGGCCAGTACTCTTCGCGAATCGTGGACAAAAGGAGACGCCCGCCGCCGTGGACAAGTTTCCGATGGTAGTGCTCGCCGATTAGCCGAGTAAACGGATGGTTCTTTGGGAGGAGGGCAGGGTGTTTTGATTGGTAGGGAAGCTGAGAAAGATTAAGCCGACCTCCAACTCGCAAGATTCTCTCTGGGTCTATGAACGGGAATAGACGACGCACTGGTGAGCTTTTTGGAACTGGATTTCCTCGCTGAAGCTCCCTGGTTTCTTCACGAAAGGCATCCTGCTGGGCAAAGCGGACTAGAAGGGCATTGGCATTGGCAAGTTCCTTGACGGTAAGCGACTGCCGGCTGAGTTCGTTCTCTGGAGGGGTTGCAAGTGGCTGGGTTCTGGTCTTTGATCGAGTTTTATCAGCAAAACGCAGGCAGTATCCGATTGTATGGAGCAAGCGATTGTATGACGACCACCGAAGGAACCATGGGTTGATGCTGGGCGTCGTTTGGACGGACACAACGACGTTTTTTCCTTCCAGAATTTCTTCTGCGACGGTAGACGGATTCGAAATCGGCCAGGACTGCTGCGGGTGCGCCAACCAGGATGGACCATGCTTCCACGCCTCATTCTTCACAAATTCCTCAACTGACATCCCACGTGAGACGAGATCGGCAGGGTTCTCTGAGCCAGATATGTGGTTCCACCTGCCACCATGAGTGTAGTGTTGTATCTCCGATACCCTGTTCGCCACGAATGTCTTCCACGAACTAGGAGGTGCGCGAAGCCAGTATATGCAGACTGAAGAATCTGACCAGAAATACGATGCTGACACGTGGATGTTGATGGACTCTTTGATGCGATGATACAGATGCGCAGCCAAGACGCAAGCACATAGCTCAAGTCGGGCGATGGTCAATCTTTTTAGCGGTGCCACCTTACTTTTCGAAGCCAATAGTCGAATCTTCACCACTCCCAGGGCGTTTTCACAGCGGACGTACGTGCATGCTCCATATGCAGCTGTTGAAGCATCGGCGAAGGTATGTAGCTCCACTCTAGCCTCCGGCAAGAATGCATAACGGTCGATTCGGTAAGTTGCGATCTTCGGTAGCTCACGCCGGAAGTTGTCCCATTTCAGTTGAATGGCATGCGGTACGGGATCATCCCAGCCGCACGAGAGAGACCACAATTCTTGCATCAGAATCTTCGCAGTGACAACGACAGGTGCAATTTGTCCGAGCGGGTCGAATAGCCTAGCGATGTCGGAGAGGATGGACCGCTTCGTGGGTTGATCTTCACGTTGCTGTATTTGGGAATCAAACCGCAGTTGATCGGACTCTGGCTCCCAGCGAATTCCTAGCGCCTTTATGGACTCGTTTGGGCTGAAATGCAAACTCGATTGAGTCCCAATCTGGTCGTTCTCGAGTCCTTGTAGAACTTCTAGGCGGTTCGACGTCCACTTTCTTAAAACGAACCCACCTTTTTCAAGCAATTCCGAAAGCTCCCCCCGAAGCTGAACAGCTTCTTCAATAGAATTTGCTCCTCCGATGAAGTCGTCCACATAAAAGTTCTTGCGTATTGATGGACCAGCTAACGGATATGCATCGCCTTCATCCGTCGCAATCTGCTGGAGAGTACGCGTCGCGAGAAAGGAGGATGGTGCTAGTCCATAGGTCACGGTTAACAGCATGTAAGTTTGAACGGGGCTATCTTTGGAGAACCGGAAAAATATGCATTGCAGAGGACAGTCATCTGGGTGCAGCAGTACCTGTCTGTACATTTTCGCTGCATCGCTGACGAGAGCCACAGGATACGTCAAAAACCGAAGGATAATAGCGAGAAGGTCATCTTGAACCACCGGACCCACACAGAGAGCTTCATTGAGAGAGAAGCCGGTAGAAGTACGAGCCGAACCATCGAATACGACTCTCACTTTGGTGGTCGTACTTTCCTCCTTCATCACGGGGTGGTGGGGTAGATAGTAAGTGTTGGAGTGAATTCCGTCGTCCGTTTCGACCAGACGCATGTGGCCGAGGGAGAGGTACTCCTTCATGAAGTTGTGGTATTCCTCCTTCAATTTCTGATCCCGATCGAGACGCCGTTCAAGTTGTTCGAAACGTCGAAGAGCACTGGTCCTGGATTCCCCTAGCATGGCATCAAAATCGGGCTTCCGCGGCAGACGAACGATGTATCGGCCTGTCGTATCTCGAGACGTGGTGGACTGATAGTAATCTTCACAATGGCGCTCTTCGATTGAGTAGTTATTGCTGACGGTCAGTTCCTCGGTCTTCCAGAACCTTTCGATGCTCTCTTCGAGTGTCAGCATGGAAACTGCGACGATGCTAGGATTGGAAGCTTGCTGTTGAGCTGGGTGAACCATGCTTGCTGATCCCGTGACGACCCAACCAAATACGCTGTCCACCAGCATAGGAAGATTTTCGGCCAACTGAAGACGAGAAGTGCTTGGGAAGAAGGAGTGAAAATGCTTAGCGCCTAGAACCATGTCAATCTGTTGGCTCTTGTTGAACATGGGATCGGCTAGCGCTAAATTTTGAGGAATCTGCCAGTCATTGACGGGAATGTCCTGTGTGGGAAGATCTGCTGTTACCGTGTCCATTAGTAGGAACTCAACGCCACATTCGAAAGCATCGTTCCTCGACTTGATTCGAGCGAAGATTGATTCTCGCACCTTCTTCGAAAGATTACCAGCCCCCTGAATGATCACGTTCACAGAACTCCTCTTCAAATGCAACCTGCGTGCCAAGCGATCAGTAATTAAATTCGGCTGAGAAGCGCTGTCGAGCAAAGCGCGAGCAATGTGATCTTGACCGTACGCATCAACGACCTTCACCAACACCGTCAAAAGGAAAACGTCTTCTCGAGGCTGTGGAGCAGAAGCACTGACAACGACCCGGGAAATACTTTCAGCTGCTGCAACGGTGGATTGGGAGGCTGGCTCGGGCACAGAAGAAGCGCTAGACTGAATGGCTTGAGTCGGCATAGAAGTACGAACGGAAGATGACTCGCTTGCTGGCCTTGAATTCTCGCCGGAATGCAGCATGGTGTGGTGACGCTTGTTGCAGTGCCTGCAGTTGTAGTTCGAAGGACAATTTCGAGCAATGTGGCCACCCTTCAGGCAGTTGTGGCACAAACGTTTATTTGAAACGAGTTGCTGTCGTTCGGACTGGGAAAGTTGGTTGAATTTCTCACATTTCATCAACGGATGTTCCTGGTTGCAAGCCGGACATTTGCTACCAGAAGTAGAAGTGGAAGCACAAGATGAGAGGCGAAAATGCGATGGCTTCCTGGAAGCATAAGTGGACTCATTCGAAGTGGATGCAAGCTGATGATGGTTCACCAAGATGGATTCCAAAACTCGCATACGACGCTGAAGAAACTCGATCAGGCAGTTGTAGTTTGGTTCGTTGGTGGTTGATGCGTGATCTTCCCAAGCCTTGAGCGTATCGTTGGGAAGCTTCGTACACAGAAGATGCTCCAGGATGCTGCTCCAGGAATCCGTTGGTTCGCCTAGTTGACACAAAATCTTTGTATGGCGCTGGAATTCGTCCACCAGCGTGTGCAATGACGCAGCAGTTTCCTTCTTCGCCGATTGAACCTCAAAAAGAGCCTGCAGATGTCGCTTTTTTAACAGGTAGTCGTTGGCGTACCTGTCAACCAACGTTTGCCATGCCAGATTGTAATTTGCAGAACTGATCGCGATAGATTCAATCAGCTGTGCCGCTTCACCCTTCAAAGCTGCCCTCAGGTAATGGAATTTCTGAATCGCTGGAACCTCGGCGTTAGAGTGGATCAAAGCCAAGAATGTGTCATGGAACCCTAGCCACTGCATATAGTCCCCGTCGAATTCAGGAAGCGAAATTGTAGGAAGCTTCAACCCAGAGAGAGCGGAATTGTGCGAAGAGGATTCAGGGATGCGAGCTTGCTGAGTGACAACAGGAAGTTTGGAGATCAAGTCGGCTTTTATTCTAAAGAGCCGAGGCTCAAACTCGGCACGGACATTAGCATTCTCTTGCCTACCTTCATCGCCGTCTTCGATGTCCTCTAGCTGCCCCTGCACCTCCTCCAATGTGGCCCACATGTTGTTCAGGTACTCGAGGCGAATGGGCACCTGCATCCGATCGCGTTGCTCGTCGAAGGAGTTCACGAACGCCTCTGCCCGACCCAGCGCGGTGATCATCGTTGCCCTCCGGGATAGCAGAGTCGCCTTATCCAGCTGCAGCGCCATCTTGGAATGGGTAACACGGCACTCGATGCTCCGTAGATGGCGAAGGGTCTGTCAAACAAAAAAGACCACGATAGACCCGGACAAAAAGAGATGGTCACTTGGAATGGTACTCACCAGTTCCAAGGCAAGTATGTGCCTTGAATTTCAATAAATCCGCAAACTGGAACTCGTATACACGTGGCCCGTGCTGGCCGAACTTGATGGCAAGCGATGATGTAAGAAGGCGGCAAAAATCCAGGAAAACCACCGGAAAGTTGCGTAGCTGGCTGTCGAGAAGCTTCGATGCTGCTCGAAGAATCCAGAATACTGTGTTGCTGGATGATCACTGTTGCTTGCAAATAATCAGAAGCAGGAACGTGCAGGAATGGCGTCACTAAAACGTTGAAACAATGCGCCGATTGTTCAAGGATTGCCTGGATACAATGGCGGAGCAGTGTCGCTTGGATAGCAGCTTCTATCCTTCCACAATGGCGCTAGATGGCCGAAAACGTGATGGCGGTATTCGTATAGCCGGACGGAATGTCTCCACAATGACGAGAATTTGGTTATAGATGTGCTCCAAACGGCTTGGCAGCAATCGACACACCAGTTTGCCGGCAGAAAAACATGCGAAGGAAAGAAAAAGAAATCTAAAGGGCACCTGCGAGACCCTGGAAACCTATCGGACAGGTCGTTACCTGATGCCCGATTATTCGAGCCTTGAATGGATTAAATCACTACCAGTGATATGGCGAGAGCAAGATGGCAGCGCCCAGTGGATCGTCCCACGTGCTTCGACGGATGCTGGATCCGGGACGGTGTCGACGATCCTGGTCACGGCACCAATTTTATGTTGGCGCTTACCACGAAATTGTAGTCCTACGTTGTGTTTTACGTGTGAACTTGGTGGTGGGCAGCAACGGAAAAACAGCCACCACTGACAACAGATGACACCGGCAGGAAGCAGCACAGCAGATTTGCAGGTAAGTTTTTCTCACTTCACTTTCTTCCTTTCCTAACTAACTAACTCACAGTAAGCGGTAAGTAGGAACAAACTTTATTTGAGAATAACTTTCACACTTTACAATTTTCACTTTATTTAACTTCACTGCTCGGGTGTTCAACTTAATCTAATCGTCGGTTCGGTTACAATATTCGTTTTTGGCTCACAAACAATCAGCTGTGCAACCGCGGTTGCCAGAACGGCTAGAAAAACTAGTCTAATTTGGCGTCTGCTACCACCAGCTGATCGCGGGGGGAAGGAAATCGCATTCTGTGTGGCCAGAACCAACAGTCCCAATAAAATATTAAAAGAAGATGAATACCTTAAAATCTAGTAACCATTTATTTTAATTTTTTAATACTTATTTATTTGACAAATACTGCATATCCCTAAATATTTTAGGTAGGGTTACGGTATGTAATGTGGGTCTAGTCCTTTCATTCGGCCTATCACGCAAATAAATAATTAATTAAGGAATATTACACAAAAAATAAGGAAAATATTGATCACTGATGGTTGATAAATGTGTACCACACACAAATCAATTTATATCACAACATTTCAATACATTTTCAGCTCTCGTAAGTAATAAAACTGGTTGAGAATATCACAATGTTCGGAGTTTTTAGCCGCCATGACTTATAAGGTTAAGATGGGAAGGTTGACTGACGATCATCAAATGGCCTGATTATGGCATTTATTGATTGGAATTACCTGATAATACACACTAGACGTAAAACTTACAGTTGCTGTTTGAATATTTTATGTTTATTTTAATTGTTTAACAACGTTTTCACAAGTAAAACATGGACCCAACTTTAGGGACACATTTCTTTTCTATGTTCCTAACTATGGCCCATGAAATTCATTTGACAGCATATAGCAATAAGAGTAACGTCAACAATGTTGTTTTGCATTTGGATGATAAGGAACGAACAGGAAGGGAGATTTTTTCTGCCAAACCTGTATAATGAACATCACAATGTTCTGATTTAGATATTCTGCGGTCAAAAGACGATAAGCGAAATTTTTAATTTTTAATTTTTAAATTGAGTGATTTAATGTAGTTTTCGTAAAATTTTCTCTAAGAAATGTTTTGAGGAATGAAGAGCATTAAGTTAACACTGATAGTGATAAAAAAAAATACATCAGAAAACGTTACCAAGAGCGTTTTTTTGAGGATCAAACAAGATAGGACGAAGTTGCATCCATAAATAGACCCAATTTGGGGACAATAGACCCATATTACATACATTTCCCTCGTGAGTTATTGTCTTAAAAAAAGTAAGTTTTTCAACTTTTCGTGGTTTCTGATAGCAAACGACATGATAAGCATATCTAAGCATACCATTTAGCAGTAGAATATCGTTTGCAGGTAAATTCATTGATGAGTTATGATTAAAAACGTAATCGATGGCTGCATATTAGACCGAGGTTAGGGACGTATACCCTACATTAAATATTACTTGATTAAATATAAATTTATCCTGTATGATGATGTGAAGGAGGTTGGGAGGATGCTACTATCATTTCAAGTGGTTGATTGTATAAAAACATAAAACGTTTAATAAAAATTGTGATTCAAATATAAGTAAATGATTAACTCCTTAGTTGTAAATGGTGATGTGATGTCAGTAGCACCACGGAAAAAGTATGTAATCTTAATTATGCGTCTACATGTTCCTTTTTCTTGACCCCCCTCCCCCCTTGTCACATTTTGTGTATGGACCTTATTTTTTTTTCTGTATGACTCCTCACATTTTCCAAAACCGTGTTTCTGGAGCGCGCTAGGCGTTGAATTATCTAAATGTTGCTTGATAACAATGCATTTACAGGATGAGAGAAGGAAGGCACCATTTTATTGTTCAGTTTATTGCATTTTGATTGTATTGTATTACTCAACGAAATTAAAATTAAGTAGATGAAGCAGAGGAAGCAACAACAGTGCTTAACATTATATGCATATTATTATAATACAGGTACCCTTTTAAGACTAGGCTACCAACGACCAATGATTTATGAATAACCGATCCTTAAAGATAATGAAGACGAGCTATTTAACTTTTTGAGAGTTCATAACGTGCATATTGCCGTTATAACTGAAACGTTCCTTAAACCTGACCATAAGGTTAAGAAGGACGCAAATTACTTGATTTATAGAAATGATCGTCTTGATGGACCCTGTGGTGGCGTTGCCATCATTATTCATAGACGAATCAAGCATAAAATTCTTTCTTCATTTGAAACCAAAGTTTTTGAAACTTTGGGAGTTTCTGTTGAAACAAAATTTGGACAACTTACGTTTATAGCTGCCTATTTGCCATTCCAATGCGTAGGCCAGCAAAAGAATTTTCTCAAGGGTGACCTCCAGAAACTTACCCGTCATAGGTCTAAATTCTTCATTATTGGTGATTTTAATGCAAAACACCGCTCATGGAATAATGCTCAAAGCAATTCCAATGGTAATATTCTGTTTGATGATTGTTCTGCAGGTTATTACACTATTCAATATCCAAACAGCCCAACATGCTTTTCTTCTGCAAGAAATCCCTCCACTATTGATTTGGTCTTAACTGATTCATGTCAACTTTGTAGCCAATTGGTTACCCATGCTGACTTCGGTTCTGATCACCTTCCAGTAACTTTTGAAATATCCCAAGAAATAATTTGTAATCTCAACAGCTCTACTTTCAATTACCATAGAGCTGATTGGGAGCAGTATCGAACATTTATGGAATATAACTTCGATCCAAACATTCCTTTGCAAACCAAAGATGAAATTAATTATGCTCTTGAATCTCTGACTACTTCTATAGTTGAAGCAAGAGCTGCCTCATTACCAAAATGCGAGGTTAAATTCGATTCAATTATAATAGACGATCAGCTCTTGATCCGTCTTAAAAATGTCCGTAGGAGACAATATCAAAGAACACGCGATCCTGCCATGAAAGTTATCTGGCGGGATTTGCAAAAACAAATTAAAAAGCGATTCTCTGCCCTGAGGAACAAAACTTTTGAAAATAATATTTCTAAATTAGACCCGAGTTCCAAACCCTTTTGGAAACTCACAAAAATTTTGAAAAAACCTCAAAAGCCTATTCCAGCGCTTAAAGAAGGTGGTAAAATTTTGATCACAAATTTGGAAAAAGCTCAGAAACTTGCTAAGCAATGCGAGAGTTCCCATAATTTCAGTTTGGGTCTTACTAGTCCTATTGAGAATCAGGTTGCTCGGGATTATCTGAATATTTTCTCTCGGGAAAATATTTTTGATGATTCCTGGGGGACTGATTTGGACGAAGTAAGGTATATAACTAAAAAGTTTCAAAATATGAAAGCTCCAGGTGATGATGGAATTTTCTATATCCTCATCAAAAAACTCCCAGAGAGTACCTTGTCTTTCTTGGTAAAATTATTTAACAGATGTTTCCATTTGGCATACTTTCCTGATAAATGGAAAAATGCAAAAGTTGTTCCAATTTTGAAGCCGGATAAAAATCCAGCTGAAGCTTCTAGCTACCGTCCAATAAGTTTGCTTTCTTCAATAAGTAAACTTTTTGAAAAGATAATTTTGAATAGAATGATGCTTCACATCAATACGAACTCAATTTTTGCAGATGAGCAGTTTGGATTTCGCCATGGGCATTCAACTACTCATCAACTCTTTAGAGTTAACAATTTAATTCGTTCAAACAAATCTGAAGGCCACTCAACTGGAGTTGCTCTTCTAGACATAGAAAAAGCATTCGACAGTGTTTGGCATGAAGGTTTGATTGTTAAATTGAAAAAGTTTAATTTTCCACTTTATATTATGAAATTAGTTCAAAATTATTTAACTGACAGAACTCTGCAGATAAATTATCAAAATCCAAATCTAATCGACTACCTGTTAGAGCAGGAGTTCCTCAGGGTAGCATTCTTGGGCCTATATTGTGTAACATTTTCACTTCGGACCTCCCTGATTGGCCTCAGGGTTGCCACAAATCTTTGTTCGCTGATGACACAGGCATTTCCGCTAAAG